GTCACTATTAAGAGAGCTTTTATTACTTCCTGATCCCCGCTTACCTCGATTTGTACTCTTATCTTTAATTTGAAAAAGTGAGTTCGTTGAGGAGTCAATCTGTGTATGTTGGAAGGTATCGTTTAGCCTCCTAGCCCATATACAGTATTCGCCGCCTCGCCAAATGCGATGAAATCATAAATATGGCGAATAAAATTGTGTTTTGCCGAATGATTTTTTCTACTGGAAAGAAAAAAATATATTTAACTTGATCATCAAAATTACGTCAAAATGAATTTTTCTAAACAAATCAGTTTTTTATTCGATTACAGTAGTTTTCGGCAGATGCGCCACGTGTCCAATTAGAATTGGGTCCAAATAATATAAGCTTGAAACAAACTACCATAAAATAGTTTTCTATATGGAAAAAATTAATCGTAAAAAATTGTTGCAATTTGCATTTGGCGAAGACTTTCGAAAATTGGCGAATAATTTTGATATTTGGCTAATTTACTGGTTAATAATTTTAAATCCTTAGTGCGGGTCCTGCATATAGCAAAACTGCTTTGTATAAAAGCAGGCGACAATTTTCTTTTTGTAGTCTTAAATCGATATATTCTACTTATATCTAAAATATTAATTTTAATACTGATAAAATTTTATATTAACGATTCAATTCTAGGTTATTGATAATTTTACTACTGTTTATGTCTGAATGATGTTGATTAATTCTAATATAAGAAAGTTAATAGCTTGTCCAGCATATTTCAAATTACAAAAACCACAGGTTAACATATAAATAACATTCTTAATTTTACAAACTGGTTTACAACTATCGTTATTTTGAATTATGTGTTTTTTGTCAATATTGGGGCAAGTTTTATATCTTTTATCGCCACACGCTTTATAAAACGGAGAAAATTCTGGAATTGAATGAAATTCAAAAAAAATTTTAAATTTCATTCAATTCCAGAATGGGTCGCGTTCATTTTGGCGATAGTCACTCTTCATCGACAGATCATTTCGTCGACAGGGTCGTTTCGTCGCCAAGCGTAATTTTGAAACTATTTTTAGATTGCTCGTTACGAAACTTATTATTCTTCGTAATTTAGTCCATTTTTACGTGTCGAAATTTAGTCTAGAGCGAAATCAAAATTCTATGTTGCATTTGCCGAAGAAGGTGCGTCGTTTCGTCGCCAAGCGTAATTTTGAAACTATTTTTAGATTGCTCGTTACGAAACTTATTATTCTTCGTAATTTAGTCCATTTTTACCTGTCGAAATTTAGTCTAGAGCGAAATTAAAATTCTATGTTGCATTTGCCGAAGAAGGTGCGTTTTTTTTTTAAATTGCCTACTCCTTTTGCTGTACATCACGTTGCAGAAATGAAATCCTTTTACATTTGGTGTTCAAGGATTGGGTGCATAAACAAGGTTCAAGGTGTATAAACATTTATATCTGAGTTTGATAGTTTAGATTTAATTTTTGTATCATATTTTCATAGATTAGTATGGCAAAGGCAATTGCAGTAACTATTTTGAATGATTCTGAAAGCAAGTAAAGGAAAAGATAAACAAAGGGTAAAAATACATTGAATTTTTTAATCAACGAAGCATTCAATTCGACATTATTGGATACCGAAATAGTTTTCGAGCTGAAAATTGTATTTTTAATTCTTTTCTTTCAATAAATTGACAGTTATTTGGGAAGCGTTTAACGAAGACTTGATCATGTATAATTTTTTTTTTACACTTAAATTGTAATAAAACAATGCTCATATATGAGCAAAGATTACCCTCAGATCATTACGAAGCATTATGAGTCACTTTGTCTACAGGGTGGTTTAGTCAAAATTTCATTTCGTCAACTTCAATCGAATTTTGTCGATTCGGTCACTCTCTTGGGCAAATCATTTCGTCCACTGGTCGTTTTATTAATAGGGTTGAAGAAAAGAAACGGAATAGGTAAGAAAGTATGGACGAAATATTGAATTGGTGTAAATGTGAAACAAGTGATGCAATTTACTAATAAATAAAAAGAAAAATTTACAAAATATTTAATTTTTTGCAGAGCAGTTGGTCTTTATAATTATTTTACCATTCAATGTTGTTAACATGTCAGTGACTGGTCATTAATCCATAGATTAGAACCTGGGTACATTATTTTATTTTATTTATTTAACTATATTACGTTATTTTTTTAGAATCTCGATTTCTTTGTGAGCTCTTGGTTTGTTTAAACTGTAAATACGAAAGAAAAGAAAACATTCATGAAATCACAATCCTAAAAAATTATTTCATATGTGAATAATGCTTCTTATTTTTTAAATGTGTTATTAAATTCGATTTTTATTTATAAAGTCAGAAAAAAAACAATTCTAGCAGAAAACAACAAAAATTATAAAAATTTAAATTTTTATAATTTTTGTTGTTTTTGCTAGAGTTGTTTTTTCTGACTTTATAAATTAAATTTAAAAAATTTTGGATTTAGCTGCTTTAAGCGCTTTTCGATTTTGATTTATTATTTTAAACGTTACATACTTATTTTGTCTTTTTCTAATTTTGTAAATTTGTTTCATTTTTTTTATTAGATTCTATATCCAAACCAATACCCATTTTGCCAGTGGATAAAAATAATACTTTTCTGACAATTGGTGACGATTCTGACATGGGCCACAAAGCTTGCTTCGGGCGAAGTTTAGAAAATTTAGACGCATAAAAGTTTTCTAAATTACGAAGGAATGCAGATGACGTAATGACCTTCTCGACGAAATGACCCTGTCGATAAAGTGATCTGTAGAGGAAGTGGTGTCGATGAAACGGCTTGTCGATTAAATGAACCGAACCCGTTTAAAATTGATGCCAAAAAGTGTGGTATTAGACGGTAATTTGAACTGAAAGCTGAAAAATTTAGGGTGAAATTTAATCTTCGGACTTGGTGTGCTTTGACACTAATTCCTTTTAATATGCTTGAAATTTCTGACGATGAATGTGATTATTTTTAAGAAAATCTCATTCTTAATTTTTAGTATTAGCATTCACCAGTTAGAAAATTTTAATGAGGAATAGAATTCGCCTAGTATTGGGAAGAATTTTAAATCTGAACGTGGATGAGATAGGAAAAGACACAAAACTTATTAACCTAAGTCTAACTTATATAACTCTGTAGACGTCGAGATTTGGGTCATAGAAAAGATAATTACGATAAAAATCGGAAATTTTGTAATCATCAATCCGATCATAAAAATACAGCACCAAATATTTCCCAAGTAGTACCGAATTTGTAAGTTGAAACTCCAGTAATTTCGAAGGACATCGAGTCAAGTTGGCTTAACATTGGTAAACTAAGTGGCTCCAAGTCTGGAAATGATACCAAGAAGGGATGTTCTGAAAATAGCCAGTTGAGTTCCAAAAAGAATAATAGTTACGCAGTACCAGAACAAATGGAACCAAAAACTAAAGTAGAAGATCGAAAGGAACAAAACGAAATAGTAGGAGTCGAAAAAGATATGATGTTGTGAGTTAGTCCCTGTGTACAAAACACAGAAATCGAAAGTTTAGTACCAAAAGACGAATGGATCGTTGGAGTTTCTAATAAAGGTTGATTAAAGTTTATAGATGTCAAGTCATACAAGAAAAAGTTACAATGAGAAAAGGATGGTTGAAAAGTTAAACAGGTTAGTTTTGTGAAAGAAGAAATAGCACTACCAGAGTGGCAGGAAGAAGCATCATATGTAGACACTTTTTCATCTAAAAAAAGTATTGGTAGAAAATAAAAAAGGTTGCCACAAAAAAGAATTTCAGCAATAAAATCTAGTGATACTAAGTTATTCAGTCATATTTGTACGGAATCGCCAATTATGACAGAAAAGAAAGATATTTATTCTAATAAATGCAGCAAAAGTTGAACAAATCTGGTCGCACCCATGTCTACCTTTAGCTTTCACTGCTGCACACCACCTACTGCCATATTTATCTCTGTTCGGTTGCGCTGCTCATTCAAACGCAATTGCATGCGTCCACTTTTCATTTAGACAATCCATACATGGTTATGCATTGAACCTTGTGGCTCAGGGGATATAGCGGTTGCCTTCCAATGAGGTGAACTGGGTTCGAATCTCAGCGATGACTGATCGATACGAATTCAGCTCCTGGCTCGCACTGACCACACTGCAGACGTAAAAAGATCCCCAGTGGTAGGAGGATCATGATTTAGAGTCCTCATGCCACCCAACTAATCGTGGGAGGTTTTCATGGTTTTCCTCTCCATGTAACACAAATGCGAGTTAGTTCCATCAAAAAGTCCTCCAAAAAGGCGAATTTCTCCCAATGCTTGATCTAGGAGTTCTCTTGTCTTCCGGATTGGATTCAAAATCCAAACCCGAAATCGGGATCGGCTGTACAATGACAGTTATGAAATAAAATTAAGTGTAGTACACACTGAAATACTGTACCATAATGATCTTTCCTTTTTCTCCCCCTCCACTATCTGTGTCATACTTAGTTTTCCTGTTGTGTATGTGTTGATATATTATAGCTTATTTCTGCCCTTGTGCCATTAAACTCTAGATGCAATTATAATCTATTGGTTTTTCTCTAATATCTATAGATTTTAATTCCATCTCCTTTATTTGTGATGAGCTTCTGCCAACTAGAAAAGAGCTCCTATTTCTTTTTTTCAATAGCATTTCTTTTTATAATTTGTGTCCTTGTTTGTAATAACTTCTTTTTGGTGTAAGGACAAACTGTAAGCATTCGAATGAACTTATTTGTTTGGAAGTTAAAATTGGATGAATACATTAACGATTTGTTTTCTTATTCGGTATATAAATAAATGTATTGAAGGTTATTTAATTGCTCGGAAAAAACTCATGTGACGTAAAATAAATTTAATAAGTAACTATTCTGAAAAATTATCCCAATTACTAAAAGGAAACATCTGTAGAATTAACAGGTAAAAGACTTAGAAGTTCTAAAAAATGTCAGTGTGGAATTACTTATATGAGTTATGTTTCCTCTGCAGCTTTCTCAGAAAAGAGAAATGTTCTTTCGAGATACACCTGCTGTTGTGCCAAATGTTCCTGCAAGTTTTGTGAACAACTTCACTCCTGCACCGCCAGTCTGTAATGGAAACAACAAAGAGCAGCTCACCTATGCTAAAGAAATATCCAGGAAAGAAATGGACGGGTATGTGGGATTCGCAAACTTGCCAAATCAAATATATCGGAAAGCGGTCAAGAAAGGTTTTGATTTCACGCTTATGATAGTTGGTAAGTTCTGCTGCTTCTTTTTTTTTCCTTTTATTTTTATAATTTATGAGAGCATAAAAGCCATCGTTAATGCAGGTCAACTGCAATCACGTTTAAAACATACATTTTTTTAAAAAGTTATTACTCTTTTGTCTGACAATTCCAAAATTATGGAAACTTAAGTGAAATGAGTTTTATCCATTACCCTGATAGTTAAGCCTATCAAAAGAAGTTCATTTTTGATTTAAAACTGGTTTCTTTCAAACTCAAAAAGTAAAAAATAAAAAATATATATATATTAAGCCTGTGCAATTACAGGATTTGAAAACGTTTTGAACAAAAGAAACATCTTATAAGGGTCTGTTTTTCACATGGTTTCAGGAAAAATCAGACCAACTTTGTTCCAAATGGAAAAAAATCATTTCAAAACTTAAGAAAAATATCTTTAGAAAGTTATTTTATGACGTATGTATAATTAAGCCAAAATTCTTCCCCATATTTTTTATATTTCAATTTTATAGCTTTTAGTGCAGATGAGCCGTAGTTAATAACGAATCTCAAAAATGCCTATTACGTATCGCATCTTGCTAGTTTAGTATTTTAAAAATAGTTTAAAGATATCTTTTTGAGGTTTGGAGAAAAAATAATTAGACATATGTAACTCCAGAATCATTCTCTATTTTTTTTTATTTACTTTCAAGGATAATCCTAGAGCTGGTTTGATTTTCTTGATGAGCTGCTGTAAAGTTTTTAAGAAGTCGCCAACTGTAAAAGACATCTACTTCCGTTAAGGAGCATCATTCTTTGTGGCTACCCCATAGCCCACTTTACTCGAGTCTCCTAGCTGGAATAGACAGGGTAAATCATGACATCGATTGTCATCCCCTCCTTCTGAGCGTTCCAACCGCTGTCTTGAACTGAGTCCTTAACATGGAGTTTTTCAGAATTCTTTTTAAACGTTTTTAGAAGAGCGGCTCTTCCAATTGTTCACAGTAGATTTGCCTATAAAAATTGTAGGGAAGAACAACTTACTTTGTTTCTTATGAATTTCTTTGCCTCTTGATAGAGGAAAAAATGGAGAGAAGGAGGATATCAATTGCTGTCCTCATCAAATTTTAACCCATTTGATGCGCGACATAAAGCATGATACTATGCGCTTGCATTGTACTATACTTTAATACAATCATTTTATAATAGAAAAAATTCTGCGTTTTACTATTCTAAATGTGAATCTCGTTTCAAGCTTGTTAATTTTTTCAGATTTGTGTTTTTCTGCCCTTTTTATGAACGAAATCATAAAAAAGTAGATATTAGAAGAAATAAGCTTAAGTTGTTATTAAGTTGGGTACTTTACAACTAATCCAAAACGTATTTATTTATATTATTAATTATTATTTTATGAAGGTCCCTCGAAGATACATCAAATTTGAAAAATTTGTTGCGTTAGAGCCGTGTTACTATTCTAAACTAACATTAAAAGTAGTTACCAGGAATCACTACAAACTACTTTTTTTGTATTGCACTCCTCACTACACTATTTTTTTAAAAAAAGTAGCACACTACACTGCAAACTACAAAAAAAGTAGCGACTGCAGTGGTTTTACTACTTGTAGTGCACTACTTCCGACCACTGGTTAAGTGTTTTTAAATACATATACTCATTTAACTATTTCATTTATTTATTTTGTAATTTAGATGGATCTATAGTCAACTTGTTGATAAATCTGTAAAAAAATAAGTTAAATTGTGTAAGTAAAAGAAAGAACAAGACTTTTTCCTAATGTTTGTATCCGCATGTAAATTTTTTAATGTTTTTAGGTGAAGCGGGCTTAGGAAAATCCACATTACTTAATTCCATGTTCCTGACAGATATATATTCCAATGAATATCCTGGACCTTCTTTGCGGCCAAAGAAAACTGTTCAAGTACTCACATTTTTTTTATTCATTATCTTTTGTAATTTGTAAAATTAGTAACAGTTTGTAAATATGCACCTCTGATTTAATTTTTCTTAATATTTACTATGGATTATATTGGATGTTTTACATGTCATGCATAAAATACTAACACTAGATCATTTTAATTTCGAATAAGTGTAAAGACTTTCTTTTTGCTCACAGTGAGTCAATCAGGGTTTGCTGGTTTAAACTAGGTTTTTTTATATAAAAATATTTTATGGAATGAAATTTTCTTACATTTTTTTTTACAATTTTGAGTTTAATATCTAATCACTATTATTTCAAATAAACTTAAATCTGTAATTTTTTGAATGTTTACATAGAAATGATTTTCCACAAAAATATCTATGTTTAACAGTATTGGCGTTTTGTCTAGAAGAAACCTATTTCTTTCAGAACACTAAAAGAAACTGGACAAAATGGAAAATTTTTTGCAGAGTTTGCTGGTTTAAACCAAATGAATTTTTTTTTAAATAACCAAGCTTAGTTTTTTTAATAAAAATATTTTGTGTAATTAAAATTTTCTATTTATATAAAAATTTTCCAGATAGATTGCAAAGAAATTAAAAAAGACATTTTTTTTATTTTTACAATTTTGAGTTTAATTGCTGATGGGATTCAGTATTATTTTAAATAAGCATAAATCTGTAATTTTTTTAATGTTTACGTCAGAATGATTTTCCCAAGAAATATCTATGTTAAACAGCTATTTAATTAAATTTTTTAAGAAATACATTTTTTAAAAAATTGCATAAGTTACTTTTTTCTGCTTTAAGTCTACATTTATTTAAAAATTATAAAAAGATAGCTTGAAAATTAATATTTAAACTAAACTGAAATTGTAAACTGTTTAAGTATTTAATATTTCTTTTTGAAAAAGAGTTTCTTCCACTTGTGTTGGAAAAAAACTATTTCTTAAGAGGTGGCTTTTTCTAATGCTTTCTAACTTTCCATCCTTGACTTCCAAAAAAGCAAATAAATAGGGGTAATTTCTCCAAACTTGTTTTGAATAAAAATTAGAAAGCTCAATAGCAGGTTTAACTACTCGAGATGTTTTTTCCAATTCGTTAACCGCATTCATGGATGCCACTCTTCAGTCCTGAGGACTGAAGTCAGTCTTGCAAAAAGTTTCAGTTGATTGAATTTCATCCTACAATTAATATGTGTTTCCATTTTTTTTTAATTTGAGTTTTAAAAAGAATTAAATTTTTTTCCATTTACAGGGATGAGATTTTTCCGTTTTTTAGCGGATTTCCGCTTTTTTCACTTTTATCTCTTAAATTTCAGCTTTTTTATCAAAAATTCAGATTTTCTAAAAATTTCATTTTTTTAAATCAGTATTCTGCTTTTTCAGAAAATTCACCGATTTTCAAAGAGGAACAGAAAATTCAAACTACATAGCTACCAATCCTTTCTCATTTTTACTTATTTTACCTATTTTCTCCCCTTTACACGCAGCAGATAAGATTTTCCGAATTTTTTACCCGCCCTCCAGATGGATCCGATTTTCGTAGTTCAAACGACGCTGCTTCTGACAAGCCTTTCAGAGGTCCCAAGCCTGGAATCTGCTAATATCTCGATTCTTATTCACACGATTTTAATATCAAACATA